GTGTATGTGTGTTGAGAGTGGGGATTGGTCGTGTAGTGGTTAGCGCTACGCTGCGCTACAAACCTGGCGACCCGGGTTCGATTCCCGCTCACGGCCAACACCAGTGACGATTATCTGAACCGGTCCTGGGCCTCCCGTAGGTCGACTCAGCCTCAAATGAGTACCTGGTGCTGTGTGTAAACATCGCCACTGGGGAGACAAACGTGGCCACATGTGGTGCTGGCCACAGACCCGCTCGTGTGGCTTGTCAACCTTCATAGGTGCTGCTCGCGAACAGCACTTGCCCCAATGGTCTGTTAAGGCTACACGGGGGATCTTTGTCTTTGTGTTGAGAGTAGGCGCGTGGTTCGCGGGATTGACAGCGCAGCCCACACACTCCGCTGCACCATCGCCGACCACGACCCCTGACAGGAGTCGTCGCGACCCCACGGACCTGCTCCGGCATCACGGGGGAGCGGTGGCGCAGCGGTTAGCGCACTGGCCTATGAACCTCGTTTATGCTGAGTCTACCGCTGCTGCTGCTGCTGGTTTTTCCCCTGCTGCTACTGCTGCCGCTGCTGCTGCTGGTTCTTCCCCTGCTGCTGCTGCCGCTGCTGTTGCTGGTTCTTCTCCTGCTGCTGCTGCCGCTGCTGCTGGTTCTTCTCCTGCTGCTGCTGCCGCTGCTGCTATTATGGCCCCACGTGTTTTTGTTTTGCCGCTGCGGATGATGATTCTGCTGAAGGCGACGCTGACGATATTGATCGGGGTCCCTTCCGAACACCCGTCACAGCGGAATGGGAGACGTGGATTAGTGGGATGCCGAGAGAGAGGGGAAGAGGAGGAGGGAGAAGGCAGAGGAGGTCTTTTGTAAGAATATCTGTACCGTACGTACGTGTGTGCTCGCGCCCGTGAGCGGATCCGGTATAAAAATCGGCGATCGCTAACTGCACTTGCCCGAGCAGGCTACGCGGGGGGACCTTTGTCATTGGTTGCAAAAGTGGCGGTGGGGAGGGGCCGTTTGTTGACGCGGCTCAGGAATGTGAATGTTCTGACAGCGAGAGAGGATGTGGTGATGGTGGTGGTCGTGGTGGTTGTTGGTCAGTAGCCTAGCGATCGAGTGTGCAGGTGGTGCAACTGCACAGGGGCGCACAGGCCGGAGAGAGGGGGGCCCGAGAGGTGAGGGGTGGGGGGCTACTGCGAATGGGGGAGGGGTAAAATTGGACAGTGGGGGACTCCGTTTCATCCATTCACCAGGGCCCATGCCAACGACTCCAACCCACTGAGACCCATAGACTTACAAAGAGACCCATAGACTTAGAATGCAACCATAGACTTGTATTCAGACCCATAGACTCACAAGACACCCAAAGACTTCCATAGAGACCCATGGACTTGCATAGCGACCCGTAGACGAGGGCACATGCTCGCCACGCTTCATCACCGGTGGTGCTATTGTTGTTGTTGACGATAGTGGTGGTAAGGATAACGATGGAGATGAGAGAATTGTAGTGGTGGTAGTAATAGTTGGTGGTGAGGATGACTTTAGTGGAGAGAGGCGATGATGGTAGTGGTGATAGTGGTTGTGGTGGTGGTGTTGGCAATGATGGTCGTGGTGGTAGTGGTGATACGTGGTGGTGGCGATGGTGGTAGTGGTGATAGTGGTTGTGGTGGTGGCGATGATGATCGTGGTGGTAGTGGTGCTAGGTGGTGGTGGCGATGATGGTAGTGGTGATAGTGGTTGTGGTGGTGGCGATGATGGTGGTCGTGGTGGTTGTGGTGCTAGGTGGTGGTGGCGATGATAGTGCTTTTCGACAGAGACAGACAGGGAGATAAGACTAAGTGCAGAAAATGAGACGGCGATAGGGAGAGACACGTTCAAGACACAAAAGACAAAGATCCCCCGTATAGAATTTAAAGACTGCAGGAGCAAGTGCTGTTAGCGCGCACCTATGAAGGCCGGCACGGCACACGAGGGGGTGGTTGGTCAGCACTACGTCCGACCGCCTTTGTCTCCCCAGTGGCGATGTTTTTTTCTACACACCGCACCAGGTACTCATTTAAGGCTGAGTCGACCTCGGGGAGTCCCGGGACCGGTTCGGATAATCGTCACTCCCGCTCCCCAGACAGGGAAAAACAGACACGGACACACACGAAGACAATAACAACAACCGCCATTCGCCACTAAGTGGCTGTGACGTCACCACGACGCTTGTGCCAGGCCATGTGCACGTTGAGGCCACGTGAAGTGTCGAACGCCCGCTGACAGGATGTCACGAGGCAGACCCAGCAGGTGCCACGGGTCGACTGACTGAGATGACTGGCTGATGCACCACCTGTGCCCCCTACTGTGCCAAGTTGCTGTACTTTAGCCGCGCGGCGCTCAGCTCGTTGTTGTGAGCGTCGCTCCTCCGCCCTCCGTTGTTGTTGGAGGGCGACTGCCCCCAATTGCCCAGTAGCAGCGTCCTTCACGAACCTCCTTCACAGAGGCCAATCTTGACACCGCTGGTATCAGTCATCGGCAAGTCCACTCATCTACACGTCCTCCTGTACCAAATCACTACATCTCCTCTAGCCCGTGCCGCGCTCGTTTAGCCCCCTTGATACGGCCGAACAAAAGCTGTTTAGGCATGCGGTGGCTGGGCATGCGGGCTACATTACCCAGCCAATGCAGCCTTGCCTACCGGAGGAGCTCACCGATGGGACTTTGTCCAGATCTTTCAAGGATTTGTGAGCTCCTCACACAATCCAGCCTGGTTAAACCCAGAATGGATCGTAGGCAGACCAGCCTAAATGTGTCTAACCGGCGAATATGCGTACAGAATGGAAGGGCATTACTGGCCGAGAAGACCTGAAGCTTCGTGTGGAGCGGCAGACCAGGTAGCTTCCACACAGCGTTACGCAACCGAGACACACACGGAGACATACACACGTAGACAGACACACACACGGACACACACGGCAATCTGCGCGTCAAAGTTATGTGCTATTCATATTTTGTTTGAGTAGAGAGAGCGAGGAGGGAGAGGGGGAGAGAGCAACTGAAACAAACAACACGAGGCTTGAGCGAGCGAAAAAAACGAGAGGGTAGGCGGGGGCGGACGGATGGAGTGGAATGAGGGCAGAGAGGGAGGGTGGGTGGGAGTGAAAGAGGCAGGGGGAGAGAGGGAGAGACACGAACTCTCTCTCTCAGCTCTTCGGTCAGCCCGTGCTAAATACAGTGGCCATGGCGCTGACTTCGCATCCTCCCTCAGCCTGGCACCGCGTGACGTGACGGGGGTCTTCCAGAGAGAGAGAGATGGGAGGTGGGAGGGTGATGGAGAGGGAGGGGAGAGTCGAGCAGAAGGGGAGAGGGGGGGGCTGGCGATTCGGGGTGCGTCCGATCGTACGTGCCACACCCCCCCCCCCCCCTCTCGTGCGCAGTGCCCGCAATAATAGATGCTCGCGAACAGCACTTGCCCCAACAGTCTGTTAAGGCTACACGGGGGATCTTTGCCTTTGTAGTGAACGTGTGTGCAAGGTGGTGTGGAGTTGGAGGTCGGCGCACTGCGCCATGAACGCGGCGATTTTTTGAAAACTGGACACGGCCCGCCCTTAGGTCGACTCAGCCCGAAACGAGTAGAGAAGTAGCCGTTGCGTCGTTACGTCAGCGCTGGGGAGAGACAAAGGCGACCGGGCGTGGTGCGGTACAGCCACACGCGCGCTCCTGCGTGCGGCCGCGTCTGCTCGCAGCGAACTTGCCCCGACAGCCTTTGTCAAGGCGCTCGCTGGGCTCCCTTTGTCTCGAGTGCGCGGCCATTCGTCGTCTGCTTCGCGTGGCCGCCGTGCGCGCTGCGTGGCCGTGCGCTCAGTGACGCTATCGGAACGTACCCGACGAGTCCCACCCCTCGCCACTCACTCACTCTCTCTCCCTCCCGGCGTGTGCATATTTATTTATACCTCGTACGCGTGACGGCGTCTCTCCTTCTTCCTCGCCCCGTGGGGGGGTGGGTGGTGGTGGACATGCATAAGCATGCGACTCTCTTCTGCGCGTTATGCATATGCATGCGCGACTGTACCCGTCTGTGCGTGACGCGTCGGGGAGTTTGCGGCTGGCTGGCTGGGTGGGTTTGGTTTGAACGCGGGGTGCTGAGTTGCCCGGGCACGGGGATGGACGTGGCAGCTTTCCCGACAGCGACAGAGGGAGGGGTTGAGATGTGGGGCGGTGGGTAGGAGTGGAGCCGTGTGATGGTGACTACGGATGAGGAGCAGGAGGAGGGGGGAGATGGGGGGGTTACGGAGATGACGCGAGCGAGGGAGAGAGATGGCGATGGAGGGGAGGGCTGGGGCTTGTGGTGGTGGTGTTTCGGGAGAGAGAGAAGAGAGAATGATGACGCTTACGAGCGAGAGAAAGGGAGGGCTGCTGCTACTGGAGGTGGCGCTGATGATGATGATGGTGGTGATGGGTAGGGAGGGAGGGAGAGGAATGAGGGCGGGGAGGATGAGGGGGAGGAGGAGGTTACGCGGCTCCACACACTGAGGGCCGTCGTCACAGTGCGCACTCAGACGCCACTCTGTCCGCCGTCACGTCTCTTGCTATTGTTGATCTCATCGTCGCATCGGTAGTACGATGTTTTAAGTATATTTATTCATCCGTATGTTACTTTTACTCGTATTAAACTTGAGTCTTACGCTTTGTTCTCGCCGTTTCTGTAAGTTTGTTATTTTGGTTCAGTGGGGTTTTTTTTCAAGATTGTAAACAAGCCCAAAACCGTCTCTGCAGCAGCGCGAGGATTCCTGTTCCCGGGCTGGTTGACCCCTCCCCTCTCATCCACCCCTCCCCTCTCACCCCCCCCACCACCCATCGAAGCCCCCCCACCCCTCCCCTCTCATCCCCCCCCACCACCCATCGAAGCCCCCCACCCCACCCCTCCTTCAACCCCCGCCACAGAACAGATTCCTTTGCCCCCCCCCCCACCACGCCAGCCCCTCCCTTCCTGCCTCTCACCCACCCAGACCTCGACTCCCTTAGCTCCCTCCTCCCTCCCACCCTCCCAACCTCCTCCTTCCCCCCACCAACCCCCCCACCCTGTTCCACCACCACCACACTCCCTCCTACTACTCCTCCTCCTCCCACCCTTGCTCCCTCCCTCGATTCTCCGCGCGTCCGCTGTGCTCAAGGCGAGAGTTGAACCGACTTGACTCGGGAGTTGGGAAGGCAAGAGAGTAGAGGAGAGAGAGGGGGGGGGTGGGGCGTTGTTGTTGTTGTTGCAGCAGCGAGACTTGGAAGTGCGTCGTAGTGCTTACGACAACAACAACAACACCATCACCTGCACTATCACCTGCACCGCAACAACAGCTCCAGCCGAACACAAACGGCGACGAACGCAGCGACCGACCATGGCTTCGGCGGCCACGTCACGCCGACAGTCGTGCTATCTGTGCGACCTTCCCCGCATGCCGTGGGCCATCATATGGGACTTCTCGGAGCCCGTGTGCCGCGGCTGCGTGAACTACGAGGGCGGAGACCGCATCGAGTTGGTTATCGAGGCGACGCGGACCATGAAGCGATCCCACGGCTTCCAGGATCACCGGCGGTCGCCGGGACCCATCGCTCAGCATTCGGGACCCAAAATCGCCAAAGAGCTGTCGGTCACTTCAGCGGGACTTGCGTCCAGCCACGTGGATTGTAGAGGTGGCAGCTTGCAGCAGCAGCATCATCAGCAGCACCAGCAACACCAACAACACCAGCAGCAGCAGCATCAGCACCAGCAGCACCAGCAGCAGCAGCATCAGCAGCAGCAGCAACACGAGAGGTACGCGCGCATGCTCGAGTACCAGCCCGTGTCGCTGAGCCGCATGCAGCAGGCGAACGGTTTGGCCGCGGCTGTCGTGGGAGTCAACGGACTGGGTCACGGTTCGCACGGCTCTTCCCACGGCGGTAGCAGCAGCAGCAACAACGGCGGCGGCGGTAAGGCGTCGAACAACGAAGATCCACCCGAGCTGAACCGACAAAGTCCCACTCCGCCGCGCAGGGCAGTGTCCATCGCTGCCGTAGCCGCCGCCGCCGCGGCCGCCGCCGCCGCAGCCGGGCAGCCACCGAACCTGTTGCCCCACGGGCTCATGAACGGCCCCGGGGGCACGCAGCTTGCCGTGCACCCGTTGCTGGCTGGTGGCGGTGGTGGCGCGGTGCCCGTCAACAAGCGCGTGTCGGTGGAGCACGAGCACAAGGGCTTGCCCCCCGAGATGGTGGGTGGAGGAGACGGGATGCACGCGCGCGGAGGGCACCGCGTGGAGGATCCGTGGGTCATGGCGAGCGGGGTCGGGAAGCCCAAGACGGTGCGCGAGACGCTCATCTCGCTCAACGGGGGCTTCGAGAGCAGGTTGCGGAAGGAACACTCGCTCCTCGGCAGAGTCTTTCCCTTCGACGGAGGTGCTAAGCAAGGTGAGGTGGGGTTGGGGGGGTGCGTGTGTGTACACGTGTATGCGTGTGTGTACGCGTGTGTGTACGCGTGTGTGTGTGTGTACACGCGTGTGTGTGTACACGCGTGTGTGTACACGTGTGTGTGGACGCGCGTATGTGTGTGTACACGTGTGTGTGTGTGTTGGATGGGTCATGTAGCCCGCATGCCCAGCCACCGCATGCCTAAACAGCTTTTGTTCGGCCGGATCGAGGGGGCTAAACGGGCGCGGCACGGGTTAGAGAAGAGATGGAGTGATGTGGTACAGGAGGACGTGGAGCTGAGTGGACTGGCCGATGACTGGTACCAGCGGCTCGTGAAGGACGCTGCTGGGCAGTTGGAGGCAGTCGCCCTCCAACAACAACGGAGGGCGGAGGAGCGACGCTCACAACAACGAGCTGAGCGCCGGGTGGATAAATTACAGCAAGTTGGCACAGTAGGGGGCACAGGTGGTGCATCAGCCAGTCATCTCGGTCAGTCGACCCGTGGCACCTGCTGGGTCTGCCCCGTGACCTGCCAGCGGGCGTTCGACGCTTCACATGGCCTCAACGTGCACATGGCCTGGCACAAGCGTCGTGGTGACGTCACCGCCACTTAGTGGCGAATGACGATTGTTGTGTGTACACGTGTGTGTGTGGGAGGAGCGGTAGTGTAGCGGTTAGCGCTACGCTGCGCTACGAACCTGGCGACCCGGATTCGATTCCCGCTCACGGCCAATACCAGTGACGATGATCGGAACCGGCCCTGGGCCTCTCTTATGTCGACTCAGCCTCAAATGAGTACCTGGTGCGGTGTGTAAACATCGCCACTGGGGAGACAAAGGCGGTCGGGCGTGGTGCTAGCCACCCACCCTCCTCGTGTGATGTTCTGGCTTTGATAGGTGCTCGCTAACAGCACTTGCTCCAACAGCATCTAAAGGCTATACGGGGCATCTTTGTCTTTGTGAGAGAAGAGAGTGCGCGTGCGTGTGTGTGTCGTTTAGTAAAAGCCTTGCAAGGTGAGAGTGAGATTGTGAAAGCGAGCACGTGTCTTCTTCGTGTGTGTGTGTCATCGAGTCGCCTCATCAGAGGCATCTGTCAACAGGACGGAACTGCACTACGTCACCTTCATAAATGGAATTATTCAAGACGCGAGCCACAGTGATTCGACTGTGGCCATGCAATCCAAACTCTGGGACCGCACAGTAAATCAAATGTCGTTTGCGATTCTTGAACGAAGGAGAAAAGCTGAAAAACGACACGAATTCTCTTTCTCTCTCTCCTGCAGTCGTTCTTTCGCCCTGTGGCTCGCAGATCTCGACGTTTGCAACTAGCTCATGCACATATTGCCATACACAAGAAGATGCACATCTACAGAGAGACGCACGGAGATGCGCAGATAGCTATAAGGAAGGCGTTGAGATGCAGATACACTTAAACAAATCTACATTAAAGACAAGCCCGCAGTGCGATTGTGGCTACCGTGCCTACCACAGGTTATGGGCCGTACAGTAAACAACAGCATTCTAGATTTGAAGCTTTCGTGACTGCAATGATTCATATTCTTAGGTTTTTTCGGTAAAGTCACGTAGGTAAAAAAATAAAATTAATAAAAGTATTATATTATTTTATTATAGTATTTTATTTTTATTTTACTTTTATTAATTTTTTTTTACCTATACGTGACTTTACCGAAAAAACCTAACAATATAAACAACAGCAGTCTGCGCTATGTAAACTATTTGTTTTTATTTTACCAGGTAAGGCCCACTGAGCTATGTAGCTCTCTCTTGTTCTAAAGCAAGCTGGCCACAAATGAAAGCTCAACGAAGTTGGCTTATCACGTGGATATTTAGAGTGGCCAAATTCTCTAAACGAGTGGTTTATTTCTTTTCATGTGGAGGGAGAGGAGGGCGAGAGAAAAAATAACCGGGATGACCCGGAGAAAAATCCACGCGACCAGGGCGATAGAGACATCATCCACAGACTCCAAATATACAGCGGCAGGCGTCATTCGAACGACACGAACTCTCTCTCTCTCTCTCTGCCACTGCAAATGTCTCGCCCGCACGGGTTTTACTCCGTATTCTTGTCCGGAGAAATCGAGTGTTGAGACCCACACGGCGTACAACCGTTTCAATACGAGGCAACATCAACACCAACACCCAACAAAAACAATCTATTTGTGTTTCTCCCTTGTCGGACGGACGATGAGATGTATAGGGGGCACGGGGGTGACCAATAGGGTCTGAATTGGTCTGTAATAAGGTAGGCCACTGATTAGGGGTTGACGGGTAAAAATGCTCTGCTGAAGCTCTCTTGTCGTGACCAGCATCAGAATCAGCCATCGATGTTAGAATGTTGCCCACCGAACCGCATTGCTGTGACCATCCGTGCGCGAGAATGGAATTGTGGGTGGAGTAGTCGCGGGTGACCTTGCAGTGTTGGAGGGAGAGCGGTGTTGATGCTGTGAGAGCGAGAACGTGTCTCGGCGTGACGGCGTCTGTGGGCCTGCATAGGTGCTGCTGCTCGCTAACAGCACTTGCCCCAAACAGCCTGTTAAGGCTACACCGTGGGGGGGGATCTTTGTCTTTGCTTTGTGTGCGGTAGTGGAGCGGTGGTGGTGCGCTCCGAACCTGGCGACCCGGGTTCGATTCCCGCTCACGGCCAAAACCGGTGACGGTTATCCGATATCGGTCCTGGGTATCCCCTGGGTTGACTCAGCCTCAAATGAGTACCTGCTGCGGTGTGTAAACATCGCCACTGGGGAGAGAAATTCGGCCGGGCGTGGTTCCGGCCACCCCACCACCCCTCGTGTGCCGTGCGGGTCTTCATAGGTGCTGTACCCGCTAACAGCACTTGCCCCAACAGTACGTGAAGCCTACACGGTGGGGAGGGGGGTCTTTGTCTTTTGTTCCGTGCGAGATGGACAGATACCACTCTTTGACATTCTACCGTTCACCGCTGACGATTCCCCCGGGGCCCGAATCACCACCGTTAGAGGAATGTAGAATTTCCAGTACAGTGCAGTGATGGGGGGGTAGGGGGGTAGGGGGACCTCCACCTGGAGTCGTTTCTACTCCACCTGGAGTCGTTTCTACTCCACCCGTGTCCCCGTGGACTCCGTGAGCTGAACGGTCCTGCTGCTCGCGGAGACTGAACACCACTTGAACAACAACAGATGAGACGTCGGGGTTTTATTTTCCTCTTCTTATGATTGTCGTTATCTCAACACATGCGTCTCACCACGTTGACACACGCTACACAAAAAATAAGTATTGTAGAGGCAATCACGGCCTTCTGGGATCGCACCGGTTCAGCGCGAGCAACACGCCGGACCGGTTTCGATACAGTCCAGCGGGTGGCTCTTCTGCGTGCTATGAAAGAAGGGACGTTGCCCGAAACGTCGACTAATTATATATTTTGTTGTTGCTTTGAGTTTAGTCGATTGCCGCGGTTGCTATCTTCGCTTTCGTTCTGCTTGCCTGTCGGAGTGTCGTTGGGTTTTTCTGGTACGTTGTCCGACGTTTCGTAACGCGTGCTGGGGAGCTTGTTCAGGAACCGGGGGGTGTCAATTCTGCAGCAACTCGCATCGTGCCGAACAACACGCGTGGCACGGCCCCAATCGCACACGCACACACGTCGGATAACTCACCAAACAGCCCTCTGCCGTCCCCGCCATAAGAACGTGGAATTCCCGTCACTCGCCGCTTTGAAGTTGATGAATGTGATCAACTTGCCCGGTTTGTGTTACGGCCGCGCCGTGAGATAGCTTGCGGTGTGACAACAACGAGCGGAGCGCCGGGCGGCTCAAAACGCAGCAAGTTGGCACAGTCGGGGGCATCTCTGGCAAAAGAGCTTTGTAAGCTCATCGGATTCCTCCAGTACGAATACATATTCTGATTCTGCACAGTCATCTCAGTCGGTCAACCCATGGCACCTGGGTCTGTCCTGTGACCTCCTGCCAGCGGGCGTTCGACGCTTCGCGTGGCACTTAAAGTGCACCTAGCCTGGCACGAGCGCCGGAGCGACATCACCGCAACCTCGTGGCGAATGGCGGTTGTTATTGTTGGTGATGTGACTCGGGGGGAATTCTGACGTCTTAACGCTGACAATGCACGTGAATGGGGGGGGAGGGGGGACAAAAATCCGAAGTTCCCCGAGAAAAACCACGAGCCAGGAAGAGGCGCTCTCACGTGGCAGGGGTTCCACGTTTCCATTCACAGCGAACCGCCCTGCTTATGCCTACCGGTGTGTACTCTGTTAATCGTTAAACACACGCGTATAAATATACACGCGGCAGTGCTGAGCGTCCTCTGTTTCACGCTGGAGGTTAAAAAGAGATCCCGCGATTTAATTCGCTAAGGGTAGGCCATTGTGTGCCACATCTAGCTCACATTGGAAACGATCTGCTAATTATTAAATTGGGTTTGCGCACACACACACCCCCCGCGGTTGAACATACACACACCGCGGTTGAACATACACACACCGCGGTAGCAGCTTTCATCGCCCCCTAGTGTCCGACTTCGTCTCCAGGGAACTCTTGAAAATGAGACTCATCCTGAGACTCATCACAACTGGTTGAACAAAATAAACACCAACGTCTAAGAATGAAACATTGTTTGTTTACTCCATCATCGCCATCATCGCCATCACCATCATCATCCTATTGGCTGTCCAGACGAACATTATTCATCAGCGTGTGCTTCATGGAACAAAACCCGGGTTGTGTGTGTTTTGTGCGTGCGTGTTTCGTGTGTGCGTGTGTGCGTGTTTTGTGTGTGTGTTTTGTGTGTGTTTCGTGTGTTTTGTGTGTGTGTGTGTTTTGTGTGTGCGTGTGTGTTTTTGTTTTGTGCGTGTGTCGTGCGTGTGTGTTTTGTGTGTGTCTTGTGTGTGCGTGTGTGTCTTGTGTGTGCGTGTGTGTTTTGTGCATGTGTGTGTGCGTGTGTTTTGTGTGTGCGTGTGCTTTGTGTGTGCGTGTTTTGTGTGTGCGTGTGCTTTGT